TGGCATCAATCCAAGATAATTCGACTCTTTCACGTGCCGGCAAACCCCAAGGAATACTTTCCAATTTAGGACAACCCTYTATGATCCAGCGATTGGGAAGGTGAGGGAACAGTGATAATGAGTTATGTGGCTCTTCTTCTTCTTCTACTACCACTACTTCCTGATCACCGTCTAATATTTCCATTACTACTGACCAACTCTCCAATTTAGGCATGTACCAGAGGTAGAGATGCTGCAAGGATGGGAGGAATCCATCTCCTTTTCTCAATTTGCTTGTAATGCTCTTGAGGGATATCAATTTAGATAGCCATAGAACCACAAGGGAAGGGAGGGGACATGAGAAATCTAGAGATTCGCATCTTGGACAATTCTGTAACGCAATTGTCACTAGATTTGGGAGCAATGAGGATTCAATCATCCAAGAAGCAAATTTCATCCCTCCATACCCGCTTAGCTTCAAGTTCTTTAGATTTGGATGTGGCTGCAGTCCTTCCAACGCATCATCATCATTATCCCCTTTCCCTCCATATTTTAATGTCAAGGATCGAAGGTGTGGCTTCTCCTTCAAGTTTGCTTCCTTGCCATCTCTCACTTGTTCAACTCCCCTCATAGTTAAATCGCCGCTTAGCTGCTGGTTCAGCCCATGCAACAGCTTAATATGCTCACCACATAACCCCAATCCCTTGATTCTACTAAGTCTTGTCAGTAATCCCAAACTGTCAACTGGCAAATTTTCAAGTGAACAGGAAGTAAGACCTAGAGTGTGTAAATTCTCTAGTTTTGTAATAGAAGCAGGGAATGCTTTGATTCGCTCGTTCCCAGAGAGGTCAACATGCCTTAGGCTCTTCATATTCCCAATATCTTCTGGCAATTTTTCAAGACCACAATTTGTAAGTTTCATGGTCTGCAAATTTTGGAGCTTAGTAATTGATGCAGGGAGTGTCTTAATTCCATCGTTACGAGAGAGGTCAAGGTACCTTAAGTGCTTCAATTCACCTATGCTACTTATGTCCAAGCTCTTAAGAAATGAAAAATTCAAGTCTAACACACGTAAGCAAGCACAACAATTCACTATTCCTTCAATTGGCAATGCCCTTCTAGCAAAATAGGGCAAGAGTAGAAGAGTCCGCACCTTATTAGCAAGTTCCAATTCTGACCAGAATTCAGTGCTGTTAGTGCTATTATATCCTCCACGGTCAAGAAGCGTCACGTGTCGAACTCCTTCCGGAATAGTTATACTAGGTGGTTGAGCTCCCTTCTCTATCCGAAAACACTCGACCCCTGCGACTGATTGAGCAAGGTCATGCACGAGGTCGTGCATTTTGCAACTTACTATGTTTCCCTCTTCATCTTCTTTTGCTTCCTGAAACATGCATCTCCACAGTAGATCGTTGAAATACTCCTCACCTATTTCCTCCAGGCTACTAC